AAAAGTCTTTGCCAATAGCAAAAGCTCCCGATTAGGAACGCATGCTATAGAATAAGCCTTCAATGCATGAAAAACGTAAAAATAGAAATAAGCTAATTATTGTTTAGCAAAAAGAGAAAATGTTTAATGGGGAAGAGGGATTTGATTACGGCAAAGCACTCGAGAACCACGAAAACGTCCATACAGCCAGCACGTTCGCCAGAGTTCAGCGACTCAACCGTTCGGCCACTGGTGAGGCCTGCGGGAAAAGAGTTGGATGAACAATAGCACTGAGTTTCTTAACCCTCTGCGGCACAATGTGTCCAGTCTGGGCACACCTAAAAATTTCCTTCTGTACGTACAGAAAAATTGAATGAAAAAGGATTTATAGGTTTGTATAGGTTGCTCTGAACCTTCTTTATTTATAGAAGATAGCAGCTCAACACAAACCAGTTCATATATTTTAGCCATGCTTTTTTTTTTTTAGACCCTCATTTTTTTCAAAAAAATCTTCCAGATTTTTTTAGGTTTTAGGGTAAAAGGAATTGTTTGAAAGAAAAAAGAAATTTCTATGTTATTTTTTTGACTGTATGCTAATCTCCTTATTCTATATTAGTTTTAAATTTTTACCTTGAAATCTTGCCTAAAATCAAACGGTGAACCCTAGGTGGGCCCAGACCGGGCTCACCGATAATCTAGGACAATTGAGAGTTTGTATTCTTTGTTTCTCCGTATCTCATCGGTCAGTTCATTGACAACAATGCTCGCTTCAGCACTCTTTTCGAAGCTTTATTCAATCAGTGTGCCAAAGTGTTATCTTCACAAAATTTTAATTTTACTTGTGCACTCCTCTAGGCCTACCTTTTTTTTTTTTTTTTTTAAATCAAAACTCCGATTTTAAAAGGTAGCGTGCCGGAAAGGGTTAAAGCCGTATGAGAACATCAAAGAAGGGAAAATAAAATATATTCAACTTCAGAAACGTAATGAATTATCATAACAGTGGATCATAATCGGTAATATATCTGTCAAATTCTTGTCACAAAAAATGAGAAGGTGTCATTGATTCGGGATCTCAAAGGTAAAAAACAGGTTTTAAGCAATTTTATTTCAAAACAGTGCTTCTAAATTTTTCTCGTCTATTTTAATTTAAAATTATATTTTTAAAATTTCTATAATTGTTTTAAATTACTATTACTGCTTGGAAAAGAAATACGCTTTAATAAAATTTTATTTAATATTAAACCAAACAGCTGTGTTAGATTGGCTTAGATTTTAAATAAAGCTGTATCGTTTTCGAAAACAACGTGATAGAGATTCCTATTCTTCAAAAGAAAAAAAATTATTTATGCCTGCTAGTTCATAGAGTTTTATTCAAAAACTGCGCCAATCTAAGACTGCTCTTTCAACTAATCTCAAATGATTGCTATTATTTTACATATCTAAATTTGCTATTTACTTTTTAAATTAATGCTCCTGATTGCCAAGTATTACAGATCCAGAACTTTTCATATTAGAAATTAAGCTTTGATTGCATTAAAAATAATATCAGCCGAGGAGGTAAAAAATTCTGGAGCTATCTATATAGTTTAGCATAGTTTGAATATTTGAAGGGAAGGGATCATTAACATAAAACTCAATCTTTTTCTCAAATAGGATCATGGATCAGGCAGAGGAGTTTTTCACCTTAACAAGTTTGATCGAGAAACTTATGAAGGCAAAAGCCTATGCGCACGAAATGAAAATGAAAGCAAAACGTTACGAAATGAAGAAGAAGTATCAAACATATAAAGCGAAGACTTTCAAAGACCTCATGAAAACAAAATTTGGCTACCCTGGTTTCGGTCTTCCAGGATTAAAAGATTCTTCGGATTCTTCGGAAGAGATGAAAAAGAAAAAGAAAGACGAAATAGAAAACATAAAAATTTTGGATTCGATGGAAGACTACGATTTTTCTCTTGATATATTCACACTGATTGGCTGAATGAGCAACATACATTAAAAAATCAGAGTAATTTTACGCAGGGATCCAACATTTGGGACTTAATAATATGCTGTAGCATCCACGGAATGCTCTGATCAACAAGTTTCCATTGCCATCAATAAACATTTTATCTACGAGAAAAGTTAAAAATTTTCTTGTGTTTTGTTTAAAGAATGTATTTTTTTATGCCTGCAGAGACACGAATTAGAGCCACAGGATGTAATACTTCTTAAAGAAGATAAGGAGAAGATTGAATTCATTAATTATGGTAAAGCATATCTTCGAAGAAGAAAACATATTTATCTATAAGAATCATCTACGGAGATATCTATCTGCGATAAGAAGAAGAGTGAGATGAAAGTTGGGTTCAGAAGAACAAAATATGTTTGTTTAGTTGAATTCACCATTCGTGTTTAAAACTTAGGACATTTCAGCTATTTGTCTGAGATAAATTGGGGAAGCGTGTAGTTATATAAAATTTCAAAATTTGCCAACAATACTTTTTTAATATCACTTTAGAAAAAGAACATATAAATAATTGTAAAATGTACAACGAGATTGTCGCACAAAGTTAATGTACGATGGGTATCTTGCCATAAACATGTTTTATGTTGTAGAATTTTATTGTACTGTCAGCCCTAGTTAGCAAACTTCTTTCTGTTTATACTTTCTCCCCAAACCTGTTGCTAAATATTAAGATAGAGTTATATTTAGGGGTACTATGACAGAAAACATCGAAATCAGATGTCCTTTTGAGCCGTTGATATTAGATACGTAGTTCTAACTGAGAACGTTCTTTGAATTGACGGTAGAAATAATTTTTTTTTACTTTCAAACATGCGGCAACAGTAAAGCAGAAAAAAAAGGGCGGGGAATAATTCTTTTATGCAACCTTCACAGCCTGAAACTCTCAATAAAAAGAAAAAAATCTATATAAATTTAGCTCTCAATTAATAAATAAAAATAAAGTAAAAGATTACAGTGTACTTTTCTGATAGCTCGAAAATTATGCGTTACGAAAAAAATCATTAAAAAAAATTTAATGTCATGAAAAAGTTTAAAGCTTACAACACTAATAAATTCAAAGCTTCGTTAAAAATGTTAACTTCATTAAAAAAATTTGTAAGACACAGGGGTCCAAAAATTTCATCAAGTCTTACAATAAAAATAAATTTCTGTTTCTATTGATCCTTTTATTCAGCTCTGAAAAATAACCATTTAAATTATTAAGTACTTAGTACTAAGCTCGAGCATCACTATAAAATTTAAACCAGAAGCCTTCTTTTATACGTCGAACAACTCATTAATGAGAAATAATGGTCTTGTGATATATTCGAAAGTTTTTCGTAGAGAAGGAAAAAATAGCGTTTAGTGAAGAGATTTTCTGTAAAATTTTCGCTACTCTTTCATTGATTTCACGAGTACAAATATTTAACTAACCGTGTGTAAGCCAAATTTTAAAATATTTATTTTTGACTTAGCACTTTGCAACGGAAACGCTATGCTAAAACTTACATTTTCTACTTTTAAAAATTAACTCGTCTACCATAATCTAATGCTTTAGCTTTAAGAATATTTTGCAGTTAGAAAATGTGTCTATCATCAACGGTACAAAAAAAAAAAAAAAAAAAACAATTTTTTTTTTACGTCATCGTAGCAACCGTACTATATATGCAAAAATGAGAACGCCGCCGCTGCCATTTCGTACATCAATCACACTGTATCATCTCATTTTGGTGGTCGCTTCACACTATTTAGCGTTTTTATATTTTTGAGAGGTTCATTTCAGAGATTCTCCATAACTGACATCTTGATGAATATTAGAATAATTTGCAATATATTTAATTTTATCGTACGACTTCGTGAAAAATTACATAGGAATAAGGAAAGTTTTCTAATTCTTGTATACTTAAGAGAAAAGTTAAATGCTCTGGGTACTAATTTCTTGGAGAATTCTTTTAAAATCTCTTTCTAGAAAGTAAGTAAAGCATTTAGGTTGATAAGAAAGCAATATACAAAGAAACTATACTTAGAAAATTAAACTGTAACTTTAGCTTACATTCATAAAATAATGTGAGTTATTTTTATCAGTTATCAGTTTAATTATAAACATAAATTTGTTTCTCATTCTAATTTTAGTAACGCAGATAGTGAAAAGTATATGACTTTTTTATTTTATGAAAAATATTACTCTATATTTTCCATAGCAATATTTTCGATAGAGACATGCACAAATATAAAATACAAAATTAGGCAAAAAATCAAATTTGGGTTGCCTGGTATAATAGGGAAAAAACGTTAACTATTTCAAGAAATTAAACGCAACGTTTCTCTTCTTCAAAAGGACAAAATAATCTGAAAGTATACAGAATCCTTTTACTCTCTTTACACACTAGTCATAAGTACATCACTGCATATCCATCTGCTTTGCATGGTTTCATTTTTTATAATTTTGCATAAAGAAAGCAGAATACGCTGCAGCAGACGAAAGTTTTGCTGAAATATTTGTATAATTTATTTTATCATCGAACACGAAAACTGAACAAAAACGGCTTCGGACACAGCGTTCATTTTAATCTATTTGTGTGTGAAGATACGCTGATGTTACCACGGATTTTCAGTTTACTTGAAAGTAGAAGAGGAGGGACATTTAACAAGAAAATCGCCTGCATGCACCCAAAGTCAAGGAGAAAAAAAGCGTGAATAAACTCATGTCCCTCCCGTTGATGAAAAATTACTATCTGCAGCTTTATAGTGTGCAGAATTTTTCACATTATGCATATCTTATTGTCAATTTGTTTTGAATTTCCTTTAATTATAATTAAATATTCATAAGATCACACACTTTAAATGTTTTTGTACTACTTCACCTGAATTAAAGTTAAATTATTTACCAAGAATCAGATCTGAATTAAGGATCTTACTACGGTATTAGCCTAGCCTGAATATGAACCTCATATTTTTAACATGCATAGCATTTCTATCCCCTAATATTTATTGATGATCATTATAGGTTAACTAATTTTTTTCTCTGCGACAGGGTGCATACAGGGAACTCACTGAAGCCTTGGGAGAAAACCATTGACAATTTTTTGAAGCTGAAACTCTACATGATGGAGCAAAAAATGAAGACTAAGCGATACCAAATGAAAACATTATACAAGAAGCATAAATCTAATATGTTTAAGGAGATGATGAAAGAGAAGTTTAAACCCATTTTGATTCCCGTGGGGGGTCTTTTACCTCCAGGAGTGGCACCGGGAATGGTGCCTGGAATGATGCCTGGAATGATGCCAGCTGCCCCTGCTCCAGGAATGATGATGCCGCCAGGAGCTGGTATGATGATGCCACCACCACCCCCTGCCATGGGAAGGGCCAATTCGGAACACGTGGCAATTCGGCAACCTCCTGAAACATGGAGAGCAACACCTGGTGCATTTGATCATGATGAATCGTACGAAGAATATGAAAACGATCGTCCCAGAAAGAGAAATTCAGATACTATGTTTGATGATGAATACAGTGATGAATATTATTAGTAAATAGCTGATATTTAAGTACAAAGAAAGGTATGAAACAAACTGTCTGCTTGCGATATTTTTAGAGGCTTCTGAATCATTCTCTGTATGCACCTTATGAAAACAAAATATTTTGAAGCAATAATTTTTAATTCTAATCTTCAATGTTTCGAAAAACATTACGTTAGTAGATAAATATGCTATTATCTACATAGATATGTATATACATATATGTACGCACATCTATGTACTTATATATGCATATACGTTCGTACATTTAAATAAGAATATTCTAAGATTGCAAAATTAAAAAAAATCTGGAATTTTTTCGAACTTTGGTTTGAAAATTTCTCATAATCTATGCGGAAAGAATCTGTATATTCGCAGAAACATAAATAATAATTAAATCAAAATAAATGAAAATGACATTTTTTTCTCGCTTTTAGGGTGCATACAGGGGACGTAAATCCTTGGGAAAAAACTGTAGGAAACTATATGAAGATAAAAGCAAAACTGCACGACATGAAGATGAAGACGCAGCGGTATCAAATGAAAATGCTGTATAAAAAGCACAAATCAAAGATGTTAAAAGAAGTAATTAATGATAAAAATAAAGGTTTCAAAAACATTATTTTGCCTATACCGTCCGACATGATGTCCTCAGCAGTTATGTCACCTGATATTATGCCAGCAGCTATGATGCAACCACCTATGATGCCTCCAGCAATGATGCGTCCAGGAATGATGCCTCCAGCAATGATGCCTCCAGGAATGATGATGATGACAACTGCGCGACCTATGATGCCACCTGCTATGATGATGATGCCGCCACCTATGATGATGATGCCACCAAGACCGCCTCCTCCTATGATGCCACCACCTATGATGATGATGCCACCAAGACCACCTCCACCTATGATGCCTCCGCCCATGCCTCCAAGACCACCACCACCGCCTCCTCCTCCTCCTCCTATGATGCCACCTCCTATGATGCCACCCCCTATGATGCCACCTAGGCCACCTAGGCCACCAAGGCCACCCAGGCCGAGTCCGCCGGGTAGACGCACGAATTCTATGGATTATCAGCCTGAAGACGACCCAAATCCTCCAGGATGGCCCGATGAAATGGAAGATTCTTGGGAAATATATGATGCTTTTAAAGAAGAATCCGAGGACAGTAGAAACCGTCGCCATTTTAAGAACTTCGATTATTATAATTATGATCATCCCCACCCTATCAGATTCGATGATCGCGATTATGATCAAAATCAAGAATATGAAAGTGATCACAATCATAAACGATTAAGAGACTATGACTACCTTAAGTAAAACTATGAGTGCCGAAATGATGATCACGGAAGTAGGCGACGTTTACCAAAGTTGTTTTGGAAAAAGCCGGCTGATACTGTTCCTTTTTACTCATGAAATACATTACTATGTACTCAGGTATTTTGTATATCTAGTTCTTTTCCCCAGTAGAACTTTTGTTTTCATTGTTGACGTTTTTAATTTGTTTAAATTAGAGTTAAAATTTAATTCAACATATTTTATTTTATAGATTTAGAAAAATAAAACTAATTTTTCATAAAGTTATGTTCTAAAACTCAAAAGAGAGAAAATCTGTTAGAATAGCTTTTGCATTTTTTTAAATTTTAAACCTGAGGCATAAAAGATAGAGAATTAAGTTTTACAATTCTAAAATCATAATTTGTACACAAGGGAGGTAAAAGTTCCTAGATAAGATAGTTACTTAAAAATAAAGGAATAAAACACTAAACAAGGGAAAGATGGAGGTTCTAACTCAATGATTCAAAAATAAATAAATAAAATATAAGAATATATACTGTCGTAATTTTGGTCCTATCAACGAACAGTAAATGATTTTTTTTTATTGAAAGTAATGGTAATGTTTCTTTTATATTACACCTCCATTTGTTCTTTCAGAATAATTTATAGGATAACGAAATTATTTAAAGATCCGCTCTCTAACTATCATATTTTTGTCAATTAATAGCAGGCAACTTTAAGCAAAGTCTTTGCTTTATGTCTTAGTAAAAAGGTTTAACAGAAAATAAAGAGCATTTGCAGAAAAATGCAAATATTAAATTTAATAGAAAAATAAGATGTAAATAAAAGCTAATTATTTATTCAAGCTAAAACTAAATAAAGGAAATTTGCATCATAGGAGCTAGTATATGTATTTTTCTCTTATCTTTAAGCATTCGAAAAGCTGTTCTTTTCCCTATTTAAAACAGATAACAGATCTGTTAACAGGTATTTAGTTAAAACTTCTAAAATTTATAATTTATATTTGATTGAATATGGAATTGTATTTAATTAATTAATTACTTCAATATTTGTCTAATTTTGTAGAAAATTTAAACTTTTAAAACTAGCTATGAATTATTTGGTTCATCTTCATATGAAAGTATTAAATCCATTATTTGTAAGAGATATACATCGAGCGTTACTGAATTTATAAAATTTGATTGCATAATTATTTTAGTAACTACATCATTCGCAACTTATATAAAAATGTGATATGTTTTAAATTAAAATGAGGTTATTTAAAACATGAATTTATTAGAAACGGTTAAAGAACCCTTTCTTATAAAATCAAAAGAGAAATTGCTTTAGAATTTAGAAGATAGGTTCTATTGTGAAGAGAGTATTTTGTTTAAAAGACACGTTTCTTTATTACGAATTGATCGAAAAAGTAATGGTTCTCTCTGTTTAAAAATCAAAGATCCGCAATCGTTAATTAAGGCAGCGGCAGCGATTCTATTTCATATTACTGGAGAGCAGATTGCATAAGTGATTTCATATAAAAAAATTTAAATTCATAATTCTGAGGCAGTGCAATAAATTGGTTCAATTTTTTAACCCCCAGAAGTGTTACCAGGTTTAGTCTTTAACAAGGTTTACTCTTTAACAGGTTACTTTTTAACAATGCCATTATACAGAATGGCCTACGAAAAGCAGCCCGCTTTTAACACCGGTGCCACGTTCTTTAGATAAGGCCATAGCTTCTTGTTATCTGTCTGCTGACTGCTTCCCTATTCGGTGACTTGGTGTCTCTAATTTAAGCAGTATTCTAGCTCTATTTTGCCTGCCTATTCACGCCTTCTGTATACGTCGCGTCAGTAAGATAATGTCCATCTTGTTATATTATCTTTGGAGGTGGGCTTCATTTTCATGGTCCATATTGTATAATTACATTGTATGTGTTTGTCCATACTGTCTCAGATTTGCCTTGTATTGTCTGTAGAAAAAATACATAAACTGTAATGTTACAAAGGAGGACAAAGTAATTGCAAATTAAATCTTCATACAAATAGTAGAAAAGCGGTTCTTAAAAATAATGAATAAATAAATAAAAGAAAAACTAGCAGAATAAATTTTAAAATATCAGTATTTAAAATTTAAAAACATTTGAAATATGCAGACAAATAATAATGTAAGCACTGCAGGAGAAAAGTTATGAAACAAGTTAAAAATTCTTAAAATTTAATATAAAATCACTGTGCTCGAATCTAGTTTTACAAACAATTTTAATGTGTATGTATATTTAAAACGAATATTGCATATTGAATATTGTGTCTCTAAGGCTTCCCAGATAATTTAGACTCTAATGTGCGTTTGTGAAAAATCTCCAAACTATAGTTGCAAGATTTTCTTCTTCGTCCTAGCCCAAAAGTACTTTAGTCTGACTGGAAGTTCGTGCTTTATTTGATAGGCACTTAGAAAAATGCATGTAAAATATGGAAGATGTAAACTGCCTTTAATTATTTTCATTGTAATATTTCTGTTTGAAATGATGGAGAACAGTTTTAATCTAAAAAGCATGGATTTTATTTCGAATAAAGTGCATTAGTTTCAGAAAGTTTCTTCAAAATATTCTTAATTTCCAAAGCTTTCAGAACTTTTAAAACAATAAAATCAAAAATATTAGCCACTTAATTGCCGAAGTTGATACAGAACAGTGGCAACAGTTTTTGTTCTGACAAAACATTCATTCCCAAATGTACTGAAATTACATTTCTTCATCATAAAAGCCTTCACTGTTTCTGATCTTCTCTCACACATTTGAAGGCAGCCTGAGAAAGCTTCTCTTAGATGTCAGTAGATAAATGTCTTAAAATAAAAAGATTTCTTATAGATTTCAAGAACTTTCCTTTCAATGGTTCTTCAGTGAAGAACCACTGAAAAAGGTCAAATCTCTGGTACATATCACAACTACAATGGCATTCCAGAGAATACTATCAACTATCCTCTCTAAACAAGAGTATTGTGCTACAAAACATGAAGCTATCTTCCGAAAAAATCGTGGACGGAAACGTCGCGGAGAAAACAACGCAAGGTGGAAACGTCGTCATGCAAAATATCGTGGGAGTAAAGAAAGCAAGGAGAAAAAACGTCATGGTACAGAACATCTTCTCTGAAGATAAAGCTGTTAAAAAGGTTCGCAGTTTAAAAACATCGTCGTTGAAAATATCGTGTTAAAAAGTAAAGCACCTTCAAATCATCGCATGACGATAACATCGCACACATGTGTTTTTCAAGCCTTAAAACTTGCAAATGCATATTCCCATAATAATTTGTGAGTGAAAGAAAGAATGTGGAATATTTTTACATCTGTATTTCCTATTTCTGAATTCACTATTAAATCTTTTCTGAATACATATAAAAGAAACTTAAGCATTCAAAAACTAAAAATGAGTAGAAAATTAATGCTACTTATAATAGCTAATAGAATTTTAATTTTATATACTTAACATGGAAATAAATGCCATTAATAAATTAATCTTTTTTATAAAGTTTTATTGGTTTATTGGTAATTTTTCCACAATTTTTTAATAAAAAATTCTTTAACTTAAAATTTTTCAATAACATTTCAAGTTTTATTCGTAATTTTCCTATTCATTTTCAGTTTATGAATGCTTAAGTTTTCTTCTTTTCAAAAGTAGAAAATATAAAAGTTAAATATAAAGTAATATAAATAAAATAATATAAAATATAAAGTTTACAACTTTTAAAGCCTTAAAACACATGTATGTGAATTTATAGCCATGCGAAGATTTGTAGGTGCTTTGTTTTTTACCACAATGACGACGACGTTTTTAAACTTTTAAGTTTTTGAAATGTTTTGTTTTTGACAACTATGTTTTTCTGCGATGTTTCTCCCTGCTTTCTTTTTTCCCATTATGTTTTGTATGACGACGCTTCGGCTTGCGTTGTGTTCTTCTCGACATTTAGGTTCACGATGTTTTTGCCACGTTGTTTTCGCTTGTAATCCACATGAATTCTAGAGTAACACTAAAGTGGCATATGGCCAGTGTTACATTTGTTATGCAACTCAGCAACACCAACGTGTTAAAGTGTACTAAAATTTTTATGGAGCCATTTCCTCGCACTGTACAGAAAATCATGAAATGTTTGAAAGGTGCCTGTTTTCGATTTCCATGGTGCCATATTTTACGTTTTGGTCTCTAAAGTGGCGAGTTTGTCTGGGTAAGATGGATTAGCAAGGTGGCGATGGAAAGCGCTAAATATCTAGCATATATCTCCAAAAGAAAACAATAAGAAATCTTTCTCAAACTGAATATATCACTGAGAGAAAGCCTTTCCTGCTGATTCGAGAAGAATCTGATCTGAATTTGATCTGAGAAGAAATCTCAAAGCATTTTACCCAAAATAGAACTGTAGCAATAGCATTAACAAACAGCTCTGCAGTAACAGTGATTGCGTTTTAATATCGTTCTGTTGATTGACATTTGAAGGCAGAAATTTGCCTTCCAAATATCAAATTATAGGAAGAAACTGTAACGAAAGAAAAAAATTACTAATTTTTGTGAATAAATATTTTTTAACATGAAAGTAGATGAAATAATATTTATTCATGTAAGTGGGAAGCCTTATTTTACATTCAACACTAAAGTATGTTTTCTAGAATAAGAACTGAACTTAAATTATTTACCATAAATGCTAAATTAGCTTTTGAAACATCATTCTGGTGAACTTGCAGATTTTTGCAATTATTTAATTTTTAAAAATGCATCTAAAACGCAAAAATATAGTGTTCTATATTAGTAGTTCTTTCGCGCTGAAGGTAATATTGGGCTATTACTGTGTAAGATATAAATGCTTAATTTATGGCTCGGAAATTTCAGCTGATTATTTTGTCCTCTGATGTTTCATCAAAGAACTACATTTTTCTGCACTTTTTTCGTAAAGAAAGTACAAAAGAACTCTTGTTGGAAAGATTAGCTCGCTTGTTGAATGTATAAATTGACTATAAGAACATCCTCATCATTCGCTTTTATGAATCT